CGCGTTAGTTTATAGTTTTAATCTTCCTCTTCGAAGATGATCACTTGGTGATCGAAACACGTGTCGAGGTGTTAAAAATAACGATTTGGTGCTGGGAAAAAACTCCAGTAATATTTATTGCTCATATCAATTTTCTTTTCTGCTATCAAGATGGGATTTTTTTATTCAATATCATCACAAGAAATGTTGATTTGATTTGATTGACTTCCGAATGAATCATGGAAGCAAGTCGAATATTTTTCAGTAAACCTAGCCACCTAAACGAATTATTTTCTCACTAAAATGGAATGTTTGTATGTGAAAGGATTTGTTGGATCAACGTATGAATATACTGGGTTTTCCAGGTTAAATTCTAAAGTTGGGCTAATTTTTCCGTATCTAAAACTGGAAATGTTACAAAGATATTTTCATCAGATTATTCGTAATTTAGATACCAACTGAACCAAAAAGATTTCACATCGATACTAGGATAGCCTAAACGTTATTGGGGCGGGCCTTTTTTTAAAGTATGTGAGAATATATTGAAGTTTCATCCACTTTGTTGAATTGAATAATTTCACATACTCAATCAGCACCAACATATCCTGAGGTATCTAGTGAAACATAATTTTTTTCTGAATATATTGTACAACTTTGGTGTTCCAATAAACAAAAATTTTCTACTTACTCTCTGCAGATAATACATTACGTTAAAAGTAAAACGGCGGTGTACGCCGTTTTACTTTTCATTGGTATTTTGTAAAAATGAATTGTTTCGACTGTTGCATTTAGGTGAAACATGAATTAAATTGATTGTTGATAATTTTTATTTGTCGCTGCGGTCGAACGGATTATTACCGTACTATGACCAACGCCATACATATATGTAGTTATGTAGTTCCACAAAAATACGCCCGACGTCAGCGCCGAATAAAAATTATCAACAATCAATTTAATTTATGTATCACTGAAATTCAACAAACAAAATACTCCAGCTCATTTCAAAGGAATATTAATAAAAAGTAAAACGGCGTGCGTGGTATTTTGTGAAAATGAATTATTGTTTTGATTGTTGCTTTTAGGTGATACATGAATTAAATTGATTGTTGATGATTTTTATTCGGCGCTGCGGTCGGACGGAATATTGTGTTACTATCACTAGACTATCATGTTGCCTCATTTGAAAATTCAGCTTCTGCAAGAATCCGCTCGACGCAAGCGCCGATTTAAAATTATCAACAATCGTTTTAATTCATGTAACTATAATTATCAACAAACAATTTTATTCATGTTTCACAGAAATTGTGTTAAATTATTCGATAGTTACAAAAAAAGTATATATGACAAACATTCACTTCCAAAAATTTCAAACAATGAATCTATATTATAACTGTTCACAACTTTTCATCAAACAAATTAATTCATGTAACATTTTAAATCAAGTGTCATTTAATGTGTCCAACAAATACACGAATCAATTAAATTCAAACAAATAAATTGATAGTTGAATAAATTGAGGAATGAATATTTGTGACAATAAAAAGTAAAACGGCGTTCCATACATATTTGTGCTATTTTAATCATCAGAAAACTATGGCGAATTGAAATTGAATTGCAATATAATTCACAAAATATATGAAACTACATTTAAAATTCAAGACAACAAATTTTCGACTTCAGTGCTTTTTTTTGATAATGAGTATATCCCGATTTCGAAAATGTATTTTATTGTATTTCCATATCACTTATATAATTGTTAATTAGTTGAATTCTCGTCTTTAAATATATTTTTTGGGGCAAAATAACCAATTTGAATCATTTAATACTCTTCGCAAAATCAAAATTCAGATAGTAATGAAAACATTCGACTAAGTAAGCATTTTATGTTTTTTGGAATCGAAATAAAATCATTATCATTAGTATTCAATATACATGAGAAAAAGAATATTCCGATTTCAAATTGTTCAATCAACTGCTAAAACATCAATCATAAATATGTGTAATTTATAATTCTCAAAATATTCATTCATTTTTACTTCAAGTTATGTTTTATATTGAATGTATGACTATTGCAATGATTCATTTCAGAAAAACTCTTTTCGGAACTACTACTTCATTAAGAATATTGAGAAAGTCTTTTTGAAACAATAACTCTCATATTATATATTCTCATATATATATTCTCATATTATCATTGAAATTCATAAAAACTTTCTTTTTCTCATTCAGTTTGTACCTTCTTCCAAAATTCATTATGGAATTGAAATATTCATGGAAAAGTTACATTATGTAATGCATGAAAGAGTGTTAATATAAAGTTTCAATATGTGACACCATCATCCTTAATAGTATACTTGAAAGCACGCATTTATTTCATGACATCACGAGTTCATGTCATCAGAGGAGACAACTGTGCAGTATTTATATAATTGACATACACAAAATTGAAAAGGAGATATTCTCCCACGAAAATTGAACTTTGCCCCTTACTTCCAATCCATGTAATATGCTCGAAATTGTATTCTATTTGTTGTATTTTTCAGTTATTTCACTCCACAGTCTCCTAAGAAAACATCATTTCAAAGGAACAGACGATTCATTGTGGTTTTTAAGCTTCATCAAGTTTTCTTTGAAACGGAACATCATCCTCAATTTTGACACAATTGACACAATTGACTCAAAAGTTTTCATTTGTTAGTTAATAGTCTTCAATGATAATGAGATTATTAGATCCCCCATTTATCACTTTCTAGTACGTTGTTGTTGTTGTTATTATATAATAATGATGAACAAACCTCATTCATTATTACTTAAATTATTGAACAGGTTGCCCAGCAGATTACGACCATACAAAAAGCTCAGCAAGCTCGCTTGGACCACTTTTTCTTCGAGGGTTCGGAAATCGTCCTGAAACAATCCTGCGCCGTCTTCATCACGATGAACCCTGGATACGCAGGCAGGACCGAACTACCGGACAATCTGAAAGCCCTATTCAGACCAGTCTCCATGATGGTGCCCGACTACACGCTCATTGCAGAAATATCTTTGTTTTCATTTGGATTCAGTAACGCTAAGCAGCTAGCCAATAAGATAACGACTACTTTCAAGCTGAGTTCTGAACAACTCAGCAGCCAGGATCACTACGATTTCGGGATGAGGGCGGTGAAGACTGTCATAGCTGTGGCTGGAAACCTAAAGAGGGAAAAACCGCTAATGGATGAGAGGCAGATTGTTTTGAGGGCTTTGAGGGATGTTAATGTGCCAAAGTTTCTTAAGGATGACCTCAAGCTGTTCAATGGTGAGTGCTGGATAATGTCCAATAACAATCTTTCATCCAAAGTAATACCACAAAATTTCATCGATAAATTTCCATTTTTCAAAGAGAACTCTGTTATTTAGCAATATCATGAGAGCAAACAGCATGACTTGAGTCCATAGGACGAGTGGTTTCATATATTTTTGGTTGCTCGATTGGTATTGCTCAAAAATAACAAAGTTTGAATTTGAAGAATTGGACATTAATCTGAGGAAATTTTTAGGTAGCGTGGTATTTGTGAGAATTATTTTCAGCTGAATGCATCGATATTGGAAAAAAATATCAGTTTTCAAATCAAATCAATTTTGTTACAAAATATCAATTCTCGAATCAAATCAATTACCTGAATAGTGTGAAATTGCAAGAAAAACATTTGATTTTTGGGAAATGAAGATTCATACTTCTCCATCTTTATACAAAAAAAAAACGTGTGCGTCTCAGGACGCTCGACAGTAGTGATAACTTAAACTAATCTGAGTTGAAATATTTTATACTGGAATTGTTCAACTTGAGAAGACCTCAGGCTATTACTAACATTTTAGGTATATTAATCTATCTGTAATGTTCCGAAGATCATCTTCTTGTTTTAAATATCTCATGATCACTTTCGAAAGCGGTGATAGTTTCACATTATATGCTCACTGTTAACAGTTTATGTCGATCGCACACTGAACACTAAGTCGTGCGAAGAGAGGCTAGAAAATCGTTTGTCCATAATACGGCTAGCGCTGTGGGTTAGAGTGAGAAGAAAGAAAAGCCAAACATACTGGCACCGTTATGCGTTACATAACCGAGCGGTTCACCGTCCCATAAGAAGTTATCACTTGAAAAATGTGAGAATCTTCCGAAGAAAGGAATAAAGCAATCAATTTAAAGAATCAACTCCATACAGATCAAATGTTCGAATATATGAACAGAGTACGTAAATGACTAAACTGGTATTTATGATGATTTCAATGTTGAAATCCATTTAGCTTTGCGATTAGCGATTTTTTTATTTTTTTATGTTGCTACACCCGTATCGAACATATGTTCATAGTTTCAGCAGTTTAGAATATTCAGTTTGTTGGTGAAGGGCATAAAAATTAGAAGTTTTTTGCGTGTTTAGTGCTCGGAAACACTTGAAATGTTGACAAAGGCATACAGTGATTGTACTCTGATTCATAAAAATTTTAAAAATTGATGCAAGCTTTCCACAGAAGATCGAGAAGATGTAAATGAAAGTTACTAGTCATGATATACACATCTCTGTAAAAATTTATTTCAAAATTGATTGAATTCTTTCTTACTTCGCCGTATTTTTCCTATGAAGATGGATCAGTAGCTAGCCAAGAAATATTTTTCTCCATAAACTTTTGATGCAGTATAGCTTATCTGGGACAGTCATTTCCACCAAAGGTCGCTGTCAACATCAATATAACATGAACTATTCGATACTACTTTTTGCTTTTCAGGAATAGTATCAGATCTGTTTCCAAGGATGGTGGAAGAACCTATAGATTATGGAGTTCTGAAGGAATCAATAAGAAGTTCGTGTATCGCTCTTGGACAAGAGGATGTTGAAGGTAATTATTGGTTGAATACTCCTCTATTCATGATGAACGTTATTCATAGATTGGTGTCTCAGATATTTGAAAAACAATAATGAGTTGTAGTGTTTAGTATCATTTAAATTATGTACTCTAACAAAAACTATTGAATATTTGGGGATATGGGATATTCTGAGGGTCACTGGTCTCAGTGGAGAAGTAATCCAAAACTGAAGTACAGTTAACAATGAAATTATAAAATTATAAAAATTATAAATAGTCTGTCCATGGGCAGATTTCAATTGGGAATAAAAGAGGAGTTAGATTGTTTTCCACGAACTTGGATCCGATATGTAGATGGTGTATTTGCTTAACAACCTCTCTCCGAAAATTAAGGTTACAAATGAAATTGAAAACAACTAGGAGATTCCCTTCTTAGATGTCTTAGTGATTAAAAGTAACCAGAGTCTAGAATTTGATGTTCACAAAAAAAATATGAGTACACTTCCGAACTTTTTGTCATTGTGTAAAGAAAGATACCATATTGAGAAAAGTGTTATTAGGAACATAGCTCCGTAAATGTACATGGATTGTTCATAAATCTTTTCTCTTCCAAAAAATAGATAGATTTAAAGTTTGTTACTATTTCGTATGAACCAAGATACACTAACAATCCCTTGAAACTAGTTTTGAGGAAGATGAGCACATATCCGATTTCGGAGACCAGAAAAATCTATAGCAGGGGAGCCCACGATGCAAAATGGGGATTTACGCGAGCGTCATTGAGACATATTAGGTTGCAAAGCTTAGATGATAAGAAGAAAAAATGTATAATATAACCTTTTCATCGGTGGGGAAAGCGGCTATAGATTTTTGAATATGTAAAAAAATACTGTTGCATGGATATACTCGAGCGCGTCAGATATTGGTAGCATCAATGTCCTACGTATTTTTAATAATGTTGGTATGTTAATCTGATCGTTTGCATGATGTGGGTGGTTGTACGTAAGGGTTGAAAGTGAAAAGAAAAAAAATTTAATCGAGCCCGTCAGATTTTCTAAGGAGGTGTTGAGTGCAACAAAAAAAAAGCAAACTCGCGGCCATTATTATAATGTGCAGAACAAATTTGCCATTTTGAAATACTCAAGCGCGTCAGATTAAGATATATATGGTTCATCTTCATGTTTTAGACGTACTGTCTCAATCTGACGATTATCTAGAGGGATTCGCTCAATCTGACAAAAACAATATTTTTTTAATTTTTTTTCAATTCCTTACACTTAATTAATTGAAAAGCTCAGAAAATAGCATGCAAATAAATAAGTATGTTTTTTAAGTAGAATACTTGTATTTATAAGTCCTGTATATTGATCTGCCGCGCTTTAGTAAATCCCGAAATCCCCGTTTGGGCTCCCCTTTTACTAATATAGACCAGCAAGTTCTGGTGAATGACCATAAAGTAAATAGAAGCTGGCTGAAATTTTGAATGTTTTCCATAGTTTGAAAATATCAAACTATGGCGTGAGAATTATGAACAATGACAAAGGTCGCATTCTATACAGCTCACTCTTCACCTTTAGCCAGGTGTATCCCTTGCTATACAGTATGTAAAAGCCAAATTTAATAAATTCATTATTTCGGTTACGGTACATATTTTAAGAAAATCCCGAAACACGTCGAATTTAAATTATAATTTGACATACTTCAACAGAAAAATGCTACCCCTACCTTCAAACTCCGTCGAATGACAGATACAACCACCAATTTTTCAAATAGGAAGGTCTCTTAATTCTCTGTTCACAAATGTTATCGCTTTCAAGTCCATTGCAACAATTGAGATAAAATAAATTAAAATCATATGGTTGCCGTAATTTGATAAAATACACTCAAAACTTATTTCATGTTGAGGTAGTAAGCAAAAACCATAGCAATGTTCTCTTTAGATGATATCCTTTGAAAAACTGTAAATAATTTTCGTGGCAACGTTAGTAAAACGCCTTGTCAAGTTATTTTGTATGTTACAACATAAGTTGTCAATATTTCAATTGAAATTCAAAGTTCGTTAACTTCCAGTCTGACAAATGGTGAGATCAATGGAAATGCATGAAATAACAGTTATACAAATGATTGGTTACGGAGATAAAACCCGAACATAACAGGAAGTAGCTCGCCTATTTCATGAGAAATTTTCTAATTTACTGCCCATATCTCAAGAAACAATAAGCAAAATAAAGAGGCAGTATCACGAGCTTGGTCACGCGGGGCAGATAAAAAAGAAGCTGCCGATGCAATGAGTGATGAACTCAAATTAGATATGAGTAGACAGGCATCCACCCCATTCAGTCTTAGACATACCTCGATAGTGAACATATTTACTACTACCTATTCAGGAGCTCATGGAAGACGATTTTGATAGAAGAACCAATTTTTGTGAGCAAATTGTGGACATGTTAGATAACAATATCATCCAATTAGAATAATTTTTGTAATGATGTACTTTGTCTCTTTACCGTCGTGCTAATTGGCAAAATTGACTCTACTGGACAACGGAAAATCCTCACTGGACTAGAGAAGAATATACGCAATATCTTCAAAAGGTTAATGTTTGGACAGGGATTGTAGAAAACCATATCATCGGTTTCTTTTTCGTTGAGAGTTACTTGAATGGCAATAATTAATTGGCACGACTTCAAAATGATGTCATTCCAAGTTTAGTGACTACGTTATGGTTTCCAGTGAATACGTTATGATTTCAGCAGGATGGAGCACCACCACATTACCAAGTTAATGTCCGGCAATACCCCGATACAACATTTCCCAATCGATGGATAGGGAGGCAAGGATCGATTGAATGGCCAGCGCGATCACCTGATCTTTCATCATTAGATTTCTCTTAATGGGGATATGTAAAAGAGCAATGTGTACAAAACTATACCTTCAGATTTGAATGACTTAAAAGAACGAATAACACTTGTGATTAGGACAGTCATGCCTGATATGTTGAATGTTAGAAGACAGTTTTATTTGAGATTGGGATGTTACCAAGACGTTCGCGGTGAATATTTTGAACATCTACTTCGTTAACATCCATAGTTCTTTTTCGTATTCTACATTTCATTACGTTTTGCATTACATTTCAGTTTTTGAGTGTATTTTATGGAATTTCGGTAACCACATGTTTTTAATTTATTTTATTTCAATTGTTGCATTAAACTTGAAAGCGATAACATTTTTGAATAGAGAATGAAGAGGGGGTTGTACCTGTCTTTCGAAGAGGTGGCATTTTTACGTTGAAGAATGTCAAATTATAATTTATATTTGACGTGTTTGGAGATTTTTTTTTAATATGTACAGTAATCGAAATAATGAATTTATTCCATTTGACTTTTACACACTGTATTTATATTGTTTTATTGAATTCAAAATAACTTTGATCTAGACTCACTGACAATTGTGGAAGAATATCGTAATGAATAAGAATCTTCTGGAGAAATGAATTTGGGACATCGATGAAAAACAGTGTGGAATCAGGTAGAAGTTTTTGATACCTAGCGATGATGAAAATTGGGTGTAGTTTTTAATGATATCCATCAGGAATTTGTAAATTTCACACGATTCTGCTATAAGGAACGATACTACTGGTCTAATCGGCTGGTGTGGTTTATAAAGTTTAATAAATGAGTACAGTTGTGGCTTTTGTAAATTGGACTTGGTGTATTGGTATCCGTTTTCAGGTCTGATCAGGGGGGTATCTTGTCGGATGGAGTATTTTCTACTATGCTCTGACATTTGTTGGTTGGATTTTTCGGTAAAACTACCGCAGAACTGGTTTGTATGAAGTCGAGTATTTTGTTTATGCAAATGTAACAGGTGTTATATTAAAAACATTTTAGTTCCTTGGGGTTTCATTCAGATCTTTAAAATTCAATTGATATTCTCCTTGAAAAATGAGAACTAACATTTTTCACTTTCTGCAACTCCATCTAGGAGTAGTAGAAAGACAAAAACTTTCTTTCCCAAAACTTAGTAACTCCTAAAAATGTAACCCTTTTAATTTAGAGAAATAAAATTCTCTATGTTTTTACCACTTTTATTTGTAACTTATGTTGTTAGTGTAGATTCGTTATATAAGGACATTTTCAAACATTAACAATACACTTTTCTATTCTCCTTCATTTCCTGTATGATTGAATTCTTAGTTTGTGTGTGTCACATCCAATTCTCTGTTCTGTAATCTTATTTTGAAGAACAAGAAATTCAAGATCATTTATAGTTAGGGAGTATCTTGAACGTATGCAACTTGAAGTTCTTTTTTTCATTCAATAAATAATTCATCAATGAATTTCTCGACGACCTTGCTAACATATCGTTATTCTTTGAACTTAATTCTTGTTTATTTTCAGAGTTCGTGAAAAAAGTTATCCAATTATACGAAACAACAGTTGTGAGACACGGCTTGATGTTGGTCGGCCCAACGGGTTCGGGAAAAACAAAGGTAAGAGTTGCTTTCTTAAAAGAGTGTGGGCGTTCAAATAATGAGGATAGGAAATTTATTTCTAGAAATAGTTTTTTTGAATGATCTTTCGTGTCGTGCAGAATCAAACTGTTTTAGATGAATTGAATAGTCTGATACTTTGAAGTATTTTTATTTCAATTAGGAAACATCTCATACCGAAATAAAAAGAACATACATTATTTAAAATGTATTGAAATTATAAAAAACATTATCAAGACGTATTTCATGCAGTGAAGTTTGGTGAAATCCAAATCAGAATGGACATTTTCACACATTTTGATATTTGTTAATACTCTCACATCCCTTTAGAGATTTGTTTTTTTAAAATTCACTCACGGAAACTAGATAATTTGCGAAATATATCCTTGAAGAGTGTCCTCAAACATAACCTGAACGTTTCTCCACACATCGTATAGAGCAAAAAGTTTATACTGAAGTTGGTGTAGTATAAAACCATGGCAAATTGTTGAATGCATTCGAGGTAGCTGAGGCCGAAGTCGCCATATATAATTTCCTCGAAGTAAACGCAGATGCGGAGTAGATAGCTGAAAAATAAAAAATAAATTCGATAATTGTTGATAGCTTTTCTTATGTTTTATGTATTTTTGATGATTTGAATCACTAAAGCATTGAA